GGCGAATTGTTTGCCAGTGTTTGTACTTGTCACCGTAATATTGTGAACATTTCGTTGTTTTATGGTTTGGGGTCCACCTGTATGGACAATGAAACAAGATGCTTCGTCACAAATTACTATTGCAAAATTGAACACAGGCAAACAATATATTATGATTTCTCCTACTGGCATATTCACGTGAATAGAAATCATCCCCACTTGAATCCAGGTAGCTCACCAATAAATTTTTGAGTCTGCTAGAGTTCAATGATACTGGTATTCAGGGATAATTTTGGACTTTGCTTTTCTTAGCCCAAGGCATTCCTGAAAACCCGCGTCTTATGAAATCCATCCTATACTTGATGCATATCATCATGGGTTATGAACACCACATCTCCCAGAACGATGTTGAAACAGAATTCGATGCCTTTTATCCACGTGTAGCACCCCCCCCCCCCAGATCACTGGATCAACCCCGTATTTAGAATGTGCATCCGGAGATCAGTGAAGTTCAACTTATTATATTATATGCGTTATATCAGCACAGTATTGAAATAACACAGATTAAACAAACAACTAATACAGGTAACTATAATTTTGTTTTCGTCGATCGGTGAGAGTAGGGAGAAGTACCATACAGTACTCTCTTTTGGTATGCACAGTATTCACATATCTTCGGGTCAAGCGGGGTTGATAAATGACAGGAAATCCGGCGTGCAAATAAATCAAAATGCACTGGTTACCTACGATGACAAACCAACTATTTACCAACGTCACGAGTGCATATCCGATTACATCCTCGTAACAGCAAGGGTTGGTTAATGACAAGTCCGGGGAGTAAATGTTTTTGTCCTAATTGTTGGTAAATCAAAAATGGTTAAAGGAATCGATGAAAAAATAATGCAGAGCGCCCTCGTGTACTGTGTTACATTTGGTATCATAATACAGTAAAGAAATCAGAGCAATAGAACACTGTCCCAGCCCGTCTTAAATCAATATCAGTGACTGATTCTCTTTCAAAAACATTGTACTGGATGGAAATAGAAATATTTTTTTCTTCAAATTGGAAGAATAAAACCTGTAATGGGTAAAGCTATATTGTAATCACGGCTTGTCTACAAATGTTTCAATTTGTTTAACTCGAGATAATGAAGCAATGTAAAACGGGGGGTGCAGACCTATGTATAAAGATACGACAGTTTAAGTTATTTGTTCTATATGCACATGGGCGACAGAACGTCTTCTCGCGCGAAAACTTGTGTGCATCTACTTCGAACCCACCCACGTTGGGAATATGTACCAACCTTAGTAATGTAAACAACGCCATGTCGATGCATGGTGGGTGTGTTTGTAAATCGTAAGGGTTACATATATATGTATATATAAACAAGAAATTGACCCATGACCTACGATGTCTAGCTAACGAGTCACAGTCGAGGCTATGTGTCGTATTCGACAGCCATGCGACTTACACAACGCGTGTAAAATACCTTGTTTGTTTACACGAAATTTGAACGCACGATGCACCACGAGTCTGATTACTAAGTCATTATTGAGTTCCAGGGTCGAACAGCGGACGACTATGCGAGTACTACAAATTTCCTAAAATAAACGCGGATCAGTTTTAATATTCCCCGTACTTCCCCTGATGTCGTGCGAACAATGACTGGCGCATAATGTGGCGGTGACAAAAAAAGTAGTATCATAACATGAAATGCGTGGATGACATGGATGTCATGAATATCGTCACGTGGTTGTGAGATATATTACAACACTGTTACTATCTAACCGTGTATTATTCCAGTTGTGTAAGTTGAGTAATATAGTAATAACTGTTCACACATCAGCACACCACACGACAGTAGCAACAAGTCAAAAGGGCGGGGGGGGGGCGTGTAATCAGCAACGTATCACGTATAACATATCTCTGTCGTAACATTATAAAATTGCCAATAACGATGATGACACTGATTGCTACAGTTGATAGTGGACCAATCTGATTCAAATCTGGTGTAGCTAGAGGCTATGGTTGTTGCGATTTTGTTTTTTATCGCTGCTGGTGCACACGTCTCTTTTAGGGTCTTACAATAGGAGCCAGGGGCAAAAAAACGGCGACCGTATATTAGAAGCGACCATAGTCTTTACGTACATCGGTTTTTAATAAGTTTGATACTGGACACGACACCACCAATGTCTTCTATCATGCTGCGCTTTAAACAACCTGGGGCTACTATACTAAAACCACCTTCAGGTCACATACTCTAGAAGTAATTGAGCGCGACGGAGATGATACGCGCGTTCTGGTCATGTTTCTGAGAATTGCAAATCGATTTAATTTTTTTGGACGTCTTTGTTCAAGTAGTCGAGCATTATACACTTTGGCGATGTAGATGGTAAAAAATATAGTTACCCACTTTTCCACCTCACTTAGTTTATTTATAGCTGAACTTTCTAATCCCAATGCAGTTTTTGTAATCGTGTTTTTTGTTTTCTAAGCTTGTTTGAATATTTGTTCCTGAATATTTTCTTTTTGTAGACATGCTTCCCAAATTCCCCCCCCCCACCCCAAGATTTCAACCTCTAACAATGTAGTTCCAAGATTACGCATAAAGACGAATAAGGAAGTGACTTAATTTGTGAAAGTCGCTGGTTGAGAGCAGACAGGAGTTAGTGGGTAAAGTTCGTCCGTGTTTTTAAAACAGTCCTACTGACATTTTGGGCGTAGCACAATCAATAATAATTAAAAAACACTGTATATTTCTTTCATACTGGGATTTCGAGAGCGACAAAGCCGTAACATGCTTTGTAAAAACATTGTGTTACTTTTTTCTACATCGACAGAAGCACTTAAAAAATATTCGATAAACAGCAACTTTAAAACTCGTATCCCTAAGTATGTACAGAAATGGGTTGACCATAGAGTTGGAGTACTGAAGCCACAGCGCTATATCATAGACCACAACAGGTGTGCAATAGTCGCCACAGGACGCGTTGACTATACTAATGATCTGCCACGGAATCCACGAGAAGAAGAAAAAACCTAACAAAATTCCCAAAGTTGTTGCCGCTTTCTTGTCCCGGGCAACACGATTATACCGAACTGTCTTTATAGTGTTTCTGGAGGAGCCGAACGAAGATTTTCCTATGTCTGGCAGTATGGCTGCCCTCGCCGCTGACACATCACCGGACGAAGTTACGTAGTCCCCTAGATATCGACTACCTCCACTGGAGTTGTTACTGTTGGCAGACGACGATTTGCGGGGACGAAATCTGCCCAGCTTTTTAGCGCGTTTTCTGATGATGAAATAAATCTGTGAATATAGAATTAACATAATAGCGAAAGGGAATACAATAGTGACAAACGTGCTTGTCAGAGTATAAGGTACATTATCGACCCATTCCACGTCACAGGTGTCATTGTAGTCGATTATACTCTCTCCTGTGATGGGTTCCCACAGCAATGTAGCGGGCACTTCAGCCAGGAATCCTGCTATCCAGGCGGTGACGATCATGCCGACGATCAGTTTATGTGTTCGCATGGGTCGGTACCGCATCGGGAGACGAATTGCCATATACCGATCGATGCAAATGGCAGTCATGTTAAACACAGAAGTTGACGATGTGAAATAATCCATGGAGAGCCAAAACAGACACGGCCATTTGCCGAATTTCCAGTAACCTAGTAGGGACTCCGTGGCCATAAATGGCATAACAATTAGGCCAATGGCGATGTCCGTGCCGGCTAAACTTGCATAGAAATAGTTTGTGTGTTTCCGCACGTTCTTTGTCGTAGCGAACGCTGCAATAATGAGCAAATTCATCGAGACTGTGGTAATTATAATCAGGGTTAAAATCAATATGACAATTATCATTGTCCCGGTGGTATAGTTGCGCTCTGGCGTTTCCAACCCATACTCTAAATCAACGCTGAAGTTAGCCATCATGATCAGTCTGTAGTAGGACCCTCGAACAACGAGGAGACGGAGACTAACGGTGATCCAGCAGAGTAGTACAATGTTTCAGTAGTGTTCTCGTTCTCAATTTAGCTGTCCTAAACCAGCCAACACAGCTACGTCATAAGTATAAATGTGTCCCCTACTATTTAGCCCTGAGGTACACGGGCAGTTCTCTGTGGAGAAGAACAGTCCTGCGCGAGAGCCATCAATTACGATGTACATACAAACATGTAAGTATGTTGTCACGACACTAGTCTAAATACTTCACCGCCAGAAATCACTACTTACATTGAGTGCAGTTATTTATACCGGAAAATGGCATATAGTTCGCATGGTCCACTCACCGTGGTACGAGAGTTAGAATATCATACTTTGACGTGTTCAAACAGAACAGTCGCCGGCAGTGGTGATTGTTTAATTCAATACATATGCCAGACAGCAACCACGCTGTGGCACTCCTATCCACTTTAGTCCAACTTCCAAATGAAAGAAATCCACCTTTGCACTGACCTTTGTATTTCATTGACGTGTTTACGTTTGTTCCGGCTTGATGAAAAGAACATATTTATGTTATTCGTTTAAACTCTTTTCATCCGAAAAATACGAAATACTTAAAATCCTCTTGAACAATGTTGTTAGTTTTCGTTCGACAATCATTTTGGAACTTTTCTCGCTAACATCATCCGGTAGTAAAACTAGCACGTAAATATACCGCAGTTAGATCTTATCGGCAAGCAAAGTTAGGGTTTAACTATACATCAGAAATAGATAACTCGTAGTGTTACACAAGGCCTAGCTATAAAACCCTTGGTGTGTTAGATATCTTTTCTCTTGTGAAAACCATTACCTTATCTTAGAATAATTATCAGTCTTCGCAAAATTTAAAAACAAATATTACATGCGTAACAAATATAAACACAGCGCAGCTGGTTAGAAGCAAGTTTTATGATACACTCTGATATAAACACTAAAGTAAACAGTTTGGCGTATTCAACATTGACAGTCGACCCAGATTCCATTTCTAGACAGTAATAAACATTATGGGGATGATGTCGGATTACGAGCCTCCGAGTTTAGGAAAATAACGCCACCAACGTATTCGCCAGAAAGTCTTCCTCGA